ATTTTTTACACGCTTATGAAATTATAAAAATTTAATTAGGTTTAAAAATAAAATAAACAAGATTTTTTATAACATATAAGAAATTAAGAAATACCTATCAATAAATAAAAACAATCTAATAATAAAAGTATTTCACACATCAAAATTATTACTGTTGATACAATTTGAATTAGACGAAAAAGTTATTAATTTATTTGAAAAAAATGAATAACTCGATCTTCATCTCAATCGTTATTAATCAACCTTGTATCATACCTATCAACCTGATGATTCGTTGACGATTGCGTCTTATTTTTAAGCACTTTCTGGAAATATCATTCTAAACAAAATTTGAAGGTGCATCTATGAATGAAAGTACTCTTAATTATAAATAATATGTTTCTTATATTGTATAGTTTGTTACACTGTAAAAAATTTTGGATTAAAAAATTACGTTATAAAGTAACGGCAGTTTGGGTGCATCATCCGGAAACTCCTTTTCAACGTAAAATTCATTTTTACTGTGAAATATTATACCGTAATTTTTACAGTAATATTTATTTAATTAGAACGATTCAGTGATTTTCCGATAACTATTATTGGAAATATTATGCTACATCAAATATTTTGTTCCCTAACATGGTTCGGTATAAATGAATTTCACCGTAAAAAGCACAGGGATTTTTTTCCATAATTTGATCCGGAAATTTTTCAGTGTACTTGGTCAAGCGCGTCATTAAACGTTTGTTGATTCTATAAGTTATTTTATAAGTATGCTGATTTTATAAGTTATTCTATAAATATATTGATTGTATAAGTTATTCTATAAGAATGTTGATTCTATAAGTTATTTAATGGTTAATTTTTAATAAATTATTTAAGTTTTGTTTTATAAACCCTTTTTTTCGCAAAAAGTATCTTTCTTTATTTGTATATTATATGAATTAATAATTAGCGATATAAACAAATGCTTAAAAAATATATATTTAAAAGAAAAAATTATCATTTTTTTTTAAATATTGGAGATTTCATGAGTTATATATTAGGAAGATGACTTATAATAAAAAGTTAAATTTAGTTTGAAAAAGCATATCACAGTTAATACGAAACCAGATTTCGAAATAAAATATTTCGCAATAGGAGAGGATCTTAAACTTTCTTTTTATACATATATTAAAAACCGGATTTTAAAATTCCATGGCTCTTTGGGTAAATGTAGTAACATACCATTTCAACAATTTATTTGTTAAAATAAGGGAAATATTAATTTTAGAAAAGCTTATAATTTAATAAAGGCGTAATATGTTTGGAATTTTTAATCTCCAAGCACTAATTATCTAATAATATAAATAAAAATAAATCTTTTATAAGATTAGTGAAAATGTCATAAATTAATTTACATGTAAATGATAACTCATGATAAAAATTTTGTATCTGACAAAAAAGATAATATTCAATTTTATTTGATCACGAACTGCAGGTTAAAATCTTGCATTTTTAATCTTTTTGAAAACTAGTAATAATTTACTTATGATGAAATATATTTTAATATTTAAATAAAATGGAATATTCTTGGAATATATATAAAACGAAAAAATTGCATAGAAATATTTCGATGAATAGCAGATAAGAACAATTCTGACTGGTTTTTAAAATTTTTAGCTTTCTCAGCAAAGCAAAATGAAATGAAATGTTATTGAACTGTTTCCGAGGAAAAATTATTTCGCGTGATGAAATAACTTAATAAGTAATTTTAATCTTTTGTGTAGGATTAAAGTTTAATAAAATGGGATAAAAAGAATGGAAAGTTCATCTAAAATTTTATTGCTTATTTCACACTGTTTTATCCTGCATCATATAAATAATGTAATATTTTGCAATTTGAATTAACAATTTATGCGTTCTAATGAGGACTAATAGATAAATGTTTATTCCATTATAATTTATAACATACTAGATAATAGTCAAGGCTTAAAATGTTTTATTTACAAAAGATCATACTTAAATTCTGCAAAATTCATAATTTTTTTTTATAATTTTAGTAGCTTTTTTTACTAACGATTTTATGCAATTTTCTATGTTTTAGTATTAAATTATTTTATTCTGAATATCATATGAAATGTTTTTGATATCAAATCAAGATTATGTTTATAATAAAAACCATGCAATTAAATTATAGCAATTTTAAAATTCCTACATGGTGAAAAGTTCTGATAAAGTTACTACACTGAATGGTTTTAACATTTCTGGTAAAAAAACGGCAGCATAATTTTTATTAAAAAATTAAAAACCAAATTATGGGGTATTTAAACCCTCCATTTGGTAATTTTTTCCCGTTAATGGTTTATCGGACATTTTTTGATTATTCTGATTTTCAAAAATACAGTTCTCATAATAACACATTTAGTAAAAAATTCAAAACTGAAACGTAAATTTAATCGAATAAATGGTTTTTATGCCATTCTCTAAGGCTTGGCGAACAAGCTCTAAGGTATCATGATTAAATTACCAAATTTTACCACTTATCAAATTTTAACACACATTATAAAGCCATATTTTATTGTTAATTTTACAAAAATCATTGCAGAACCGCTTCGGTGAGATTTACGGAGCTTTATTGGTGTTCCCATAAAGCTAGAAACACGTAAATTTTACCATTTTCTGGTAGTTTTGACCATATTTTTTTCTCAATGTCGATTGTTTTTCTCATGCATTGAACAATTTAATTTGATTTACTGGATGCATTAAACTTCCAAAACATATCCTTCTACGTTGTATCATAATTAAGTTAAAATTTGATACTTGATATTATAGTTTGATTTGACTTTTTAAATCTGGACAAATTAGTCATTTTCATCATTTTTATTGTTATAAACTAGTTTTTAATAGAAAAGGTTTTGTTCATTACAAGCATCCTTAAATTTTTTACTTATTACTAAAACTTTCATTAGATTCAAAGTGAATTACAATTTATTATGGTAAAAATTATTGTTTTTAAATGAGGATTAAAATATTGCTTTGATTATGGTTTAAAATATTGTTTTTAACATTTCTGCAATTCAAATAAAATAAATTTTCTTCAAAGTTCTGATTAAGATATAATTTTTTCTTCTTCTAAAAAACTTACAGCTATACTAGAATTATTAAATATTGATTTGATGACTATTTCAGGAAGACAATTGCAAAATATATGCAGAATAATTTATTAAATGAAACTATTGTCAAAATATCCAGTATGCCTGATAAAGTGCTATTTTTGGTATTGTCCCTATAGGGAATCTAACTGTGTAAAGGCAAACGTATACCGGGCAGTAGCACTTAATCTTAAAAAAAAGCATCAGGCACTTAATAGAAACGTAAATGTCTATTACACAGGTGGAACGCGTATTGGGACATTACCTTATTTTTTTCATTAAATGAATTTTATTTCACAAAGTTTCTCTATCTACATAGAAATTATTCACGCATACATTATAGGTGAATTTTGAACTTCATTTAGAAGAGATTTTGTTTGATTTGTCTTTAGTGGCACAAGTTAAGGGCAACAGGGCACTGTTAAACAATTTGGAACACGCTGAGCCACAACAGTGAATAAAATTGCGGCAACCTAAATACAAAGCCAAGTTAAACCATCTTAGAGAGCTTAATAATTCTTCTTAAAGTTGACTATGCGAAAAATTTGACTTAAATTGAGTAAAAAAAGGGTTGAGTTTAATTTCTTATTAGTATTGCAACAAAAATTTGGGTAATAATACAGCACAAGAATGGTCCAATTTTTCTGAAAGTAGGATAAAAGTAGAGAAAATTGCCTCCTCAAAACACTTTTTTATTGTCGTAATTGAATTTTACAACGTAAAAACTTCCCGGTAGAATAAAGACGCAATTTTGATTAAAATCGTAGTTTAAGGAGTCACACACCCAAAAAAATTATTAAACTATCGAAAAAAAATTATTGTCTTATTAAAATTTCAAACAATTCCTAGTAAACTAAAAATATATTCATATAACTCTATGTAAATTAGTTAAAAATTTGTGGGCAATTTCAGGTAAAAAAGTAGCAGGAAAAGGAATTTTTTTATATTATTTTTCACGCGGATGTTTTTTTTTTGCCCGTGGTAACAAGTTATTTTAATACTACACAAAGACCTTTATCTAGTAAAGCTAGAGCGTCGAAGTTCACTTTCTTATAATCATCATGTTATAGTTAACAACATTGCGCAATTAATTTAACTATTTAAAAATTATTAAAGTTTTAGCAACATATTATGCTTGTGGAATCGATTTAAAGTTTTCATTCTTCCTTGATTCTTTACATAATTAGTCACAGAAGAATTTCTAATCGATAATCACATTATTGCTCAGATTTGTAGAGTTGATTATTGTAATCATCAAAAGGAAAATCATTTTAAAGAAATAGTCAAATAATAATAGGAATTAATGTCATCGTCAATAAATAATAATTTTAAAAAAAAGTTAGAAATGAAGGAAATTTCTGTGAACGTTTTTCAGTCATTTAAAGAAAATGGTTGTCAATAATTTCAGCCATGGATGGCAGAAAATATTCTAAGTTTCTAAAAGCGCGCTAAAATCAAAAACTAAGTTCAATGATCAGTCCATTTCTACCTTCACCTTGACCGACGCGTTTTCTCAAAACGAAAATTCGATTCTTCAACTCCAAAATCCGATGCATGCAAAAGTGTGAACCCATGTTCTTAAACAAACAACAAACGCACGATGAAACCATTCCTTCGACCGATTTACCTCATAAATAAGTTTGTTTTGCATTTTCACTCTCCTCATTATCTCATTCAATCAAATGTAAAATTACTCGACTTAGATAAAAAAAAAATCTATTTAAAATGGCCTATATTCATAATTAAATATTGTGATATTGATTAAGGGCGACCCCGGTAATGTGTGAAAAAGACAATGACACTATAGTTAAAAGTATTTCCTATCTAGTCCTGTTTGGTCGCTTTTTTTAGAGCCTTCCCTCATCCAATCTATTGTTCTGTTTGCAGAGGTGTTACTGTTGGTGGTTCGTAGTGTGTGTGTCCTAGTGACCCATAACCCGCAGCTGCTAGGTATCAGTTTTGAAGCCTCATCGCCTAGGCACTTGCGGCCCAGGCCTGCGTGGGTGCTTGATGGGTAAAGTTGACAGCAAAAGAGAGCCGGTTTAAGGCCGTGCTTGCATGCTTAGACAGTGGGTGCACTACAATGGATACAATGCAGGTAATTTGTGATTGTCTTAGCTATTGTTATTCTCATGTAAACAAAATGTGTGCTTTATTTTTTAATATAAATCAAAATTGAAGATCAGTATAAATTATATCAACCTTAAACAATGACAGTAGTATATAAGAACTCGAATTGTGATTATATTTTTATAAAACTATGAATGTTTTGTATACGCTGTAGGTATTTACGTATCTTGGGCAGGAATGCGTTCCTTTGATTAAGACAATTTATGCAGCTTTTTTTACATGTACTTTAAGATTACTATTATTTTACTTTGTTTATATTCTAGACACTTTTTCTTACGACAACACGAGTTAATGTAAAGTAAGTTCGTAAAATTACTATACATTATTTTGCTGGTTTTTATATTCTTAACAATGTTTGCAACAACACGAGACGGGACTTTCAATAACTTAGTTCACTGAACTTAGTTCACAAACTTACTATACTTTATTTTGCAGGGTTTTTATATACTTGACATCGTTAATTACAACAACACGAGGATGGAATTTCAATAAATACGAAGAACTGAACTTAGTTCATAAACTTACTATTTTAATCTATAATACGAAAAACTGATTTCTTTTGTTTTGTTAATAAAGTGACAGAGAGCTAATATTTTAACATTTTTGAATACTAATACTGAACCATATAATTGTTATATTAAACTACAATATCTTTCAAATTTTGTTGGAAATTTACTTGTAAGATATTTAACTTTGATCCTATATCCTAGTGAAGTTGTTTTAAATTTTCTTTTACCATAATATTTACCAACTTGGATATTCAAATGGTTCAAATCTAATAAATATACTGACAGCACATTATGGTTCATTATACTTTGTATTATCCCGCTAACGTTTAAGTCGAAATTTTAAATTAAAAATTTGTATATCGCTACATAACATAAAAAGATAATGATCTAAAATCACTACTAATTGTTACTGGGGTAGTAGTAGTGGCAAAAAAAATTAGGGTAAGATCCTTATTTAAAAAATAAGATCTGAAATTCATTAGACGACATTAACATGGATTTAATAAAAACTATATACTATATATTCATTTTACGGTATTTTCATTTCGTTCTATTTTGATTAGTGATATATTTAATATACATTTATTAAATTTATTTTCAACTGTTTTTTAACAATTACAATGTTTATTTATTACTTAACGTTTATCATTTGAGTTATTTTCGTTATATTTTTATTAAAATGAAAAATACCAATCATGATGATCTTTTTCACAAGTAACTGAAGGTGTTGTTCCTTTATAACATTATAAAGTAATCCGATAATATAATGTTATTAAGTAACATTTTATTATAAACATATAAAATTACTATTTTACAATTATTAAATAATAAATAAGTGTAACCGTGAATTGATTAAGAATTTAAAAACTAATTTGTGGAAGAAGTTGAAATGGTAATCAAGAAAAAGGATTAGGCTTAAATTTTATCCCAATAGAATCGGAAATGAAATCTGTGAAACTAAATCCGTAAGAATGAAATAAAATATTTTGAGCTCTTTTAAATGAATAGATTTTAGTTCTGAGCTATAAATGTATTAATCTTCAGGAAACAAAAATTATTGAGAAACTATTCCGACGGGTAGTAAGAATCAGATAGCAGAGGCCAAAACATTCTAGTAATAAAAAATCTTAAAGATATTGTATTGCCGAAAATTACGTTAAATGCAAATAAATTGATTAATAAAATATAAAAAAATTATTATCAGTTCCTTTAGTAAAAACTTCTTTCTTTATGAATGCAAAAAAATAAAAATTGTGTTATAACTACGTTTCTATTTCTCTATTAAATATTAATATGTAGTAGAATTTTCGGAACTGATATGTTTTACCAAAAAGCTTTATAATTGTTCATATCTAAAGCAATTATAATAAAGTAAAAAATATATATTATAAAAAATATAATAATAAAATGTAATGAAAAAAAAAATAATAAAAAAATATAATAAAATAAAATAATAGTAAAATAAAAAAATATAATAAAATAAAAATAGGAACGTACTTTTTATAGTACTAAAATGGTAAACGCATCTTGCATTGGAAGTTGTTTTTTATTTATTATATTAAAATATTAAATGTAGTAAAGGCTTAGATTAGGAGCAGCGTGAGCGATGATAAAAATGTTTATTTTTGTTCTGACACAAAATATGTTCTGTTCTAACCATGTGTTTTGTTGTGTAAAAAAAAAAAAATTACTTTGGGACTATAATGTATTGAACTTTAAAAAGTCAAACCAAAAACAATGTATGAGATTGCCGTAGATTTAGAAATAAGCACAAAAGGAAGTTAGAAATACAATTGCATGAATTTTTGAAGCAGAAACAAGGGGTTTTATATTTTTTTTAGTTCCTTCTTTTTTCTTTCCTTTTTTTAGTAATTTTTTTTCTATTTCTTTATTATATAAACGAAATTGCTTCACTTTTAAATTTTTTTAGGATAAAAAAATAATGGCAAAGATATGTCACTAGCATTTCAGTCACATGAATAAAATTACGGAATGTAATAAAGTAAATAAATCAAGCTATTATTATTTCTATGTAGAGAACACTATGCAATACTTTTCCTCGTGAGAATTTAGGTATTCTCTGTTAGGGCTGCTATAGTTTCCATATAAGCAATTTCATGAATTAATTGATCGTATTCATATTAGTGCTATAATATTTAATCAATGTTGTCATTTTTAAAATTTACACAACTGGAATTAATTTATGAATTACGTGCTAAATAGATTAAACATTTAATTGTTTGTTTGGCTCTAAATGTTGTTATTCAATTTATAACCAGATTTTTGTATATCATAAAAACGGAAGTGCATAAAAGATTTTTTCCTTTTTCTTTTTGTTGCCGGCGCATTCTTATTGGTCAGAAAAATCACTGAGCAAAATAAACTTTCTCGCTTGAAGATTCAGATTTCTTTGGTTATTATACGCATAAAATTGATAAAATTATTAAGGAATTATTTGATTCTAAATAATTCTAATAATTTTTAATACGTCTAATTATTCTAATAATTTCCTGATGATCTGTGATTTAAAATCGTGTGCGTATGAAATTATAAGTGTTTTAATAAATATTCGCACTTTTTAATTTTCATAAACTTTTGAATGTTTATTTTGTTTCTCCCTAAATAAAAAAATTTAAAAACCAGGAACATTGACAATTGGTATCAAAACAATCAGTTAAGTGCCAATCGGTTGTATAGTGGTCAGGGAGCTGACCTTGAGTCAGAGGGTCCCGGGTTCGATTCCCGGATAAGGTATGGATGTTCTTTCATTCTCTTCTGCATTGTGTGTCCTTCTTACTGAGGGAGCAATGTTGACCCACCTTCTATGGTGCCCAGAGGAGAGTGATCAGCAAATCTGCTCTAGTATCTGTTACAAAGACGAAAGTTAATATACGAGTAGGCATTGGAAAAAAAAACAATTATTCAAGTTGTTCCTGCAATAGGTACTTATAGGTTCTAGGAAGTTTATACAGATAATCGGTTACTGATAATACTCATTGGTGTATGAAATACAGCAATATCGCGACTATTAATGGTAACAATATATATGGAATATGAAAATACCACGATCTTTATTGATAACAATAATAATCTAAAGCTATAATATCGTGATCATTATCAATAACTGTTAATAAATACCGAAAAAAACCCAGTAAGAATATCGTGATATTATCTTTTTGATAACTATCGAAAATATAATGTCGCGAAACTTTATACATAACGATAATTAATAAATCCAGTATTTTCGGGAGTGTTGATATATTTTATTTGAAAAGCGAAGATATTTGTTAATACAAAAATAATATGAATTAATTTAAGTTATCGTGGTATAATGTCGATATTTGTTGCATTGTATTGTGATATTAAAATTCGGCTGTTACCGTTTACTGGGAGAAGATTTTCGTATTAGCGACAACTCGGGAAAGCAGTCACCATTTCAGATAAGTACCTGTCTAAAACTTTTAAATCTAAATTATTTATTTTGAGAAAAAGATATTAAAAAATGTATCGATGATTTTTGCTTTCTCTATGTTTCTGGCTTTAAAAATTCATAAAACAATTTTCTAATAATTTTTTCTTCCTGAATTATAAATTTTGTTTATTTTCTTATTCTAGATACACTTCGCATATATGATTATCATATGGTTACTAAGCTCAAGCGTAGTGCTCACACAATTTCTTTCAACCATAGGTAAGTTTTGATTATATATTCGAATGTTCTACATATTTAATGTCTATTCTTTGCTAATATCGATGACAACGAATCATGGTTGAATAAATTTTAAAATTGCTTTCGAACTTATTTTATTTCATTTCACGTAATTAGAAAAAAATATGCAAAAGAATATTTTAAAGCAATAAATTGTATTTTTCTGAAAGTGATTTAAGTAGCAAATCATAAAAGTCACATTACGTTTAACTAAATAGATGGTGCATTTTTACCAACTTTTGGGGCAATATATGGACAATTTGAAACATCATTTAAAGTCTTTTGTGTTTTCTTTTTCCAATAATACGTGATGAATTGGAAAAATTAAATTGTGTAAACAGAGTGCAAACCTTCTTAAAAGGTTTCAAAAAGTAGAGTCAATTTGAAAGTTAAAATTTGTATCTCGTTTTTGTTTTCCCGTTATGCAGAAGCGAGGTAAACGACAATACACACGATTTGACCATCCTTCCATAAAACTGTGCTTTAACCGTAAATATAAATGCTTGAACCGTAAAAAGCCGTTTTTTTACCGTTGAATGCTGATGTGGGAATTAGTCTTTTATTCTTAAAATTATCTTAAATTAACACGGTAAATTTTACCATATTCTAGTAGTTTTGATCATACTTCTTTTCTCAGCGTAACCAGTTCTCATACATTGCTGATCAAATATGATTTGTAGGCAATCAGTCCTCATACATTTTTGATGAGTTTGTTGATGATCAATTCTGATTATTTGATAACAAGTTCTAGCAATTCGCTGATAAATAAGCACTTTTTTTTAAATATTCCAGCCGCTCTTAGAAGTCAGTGTCATTGCATGGAATACTGGGAATGCGTTGGATCTGGTGGAAAACCATATTCTTATTGCTCATACAGCAGCAAAGTATGCTGCTTCATTGATCCGAATGCCGTGTCCATAGGAATCTTACCTATTCAGAAGAAATCTGAAAATTGTGGAACCAAAGGTCCTCATGATGAGAGAGATGGTTTTACAGAACCTGGAGAATGGGCCTGGCATGTAAGAAAACATATATTTTTTTTAATATTTTCTTTATCTGAAAAATAGAATAGTTTTCTCCTTCAACAAAACTGAAATTCTGCTTCAGAGTCTACTGTTTGTAAATTTCTCAAATTTTACGTAAATTGTTCTTGAGATGAGAGACAATTTTGCTTTATTAAGGTCAAATAGTAGAAAAAAACGTTATTTTAATTTCATTTTTAAATAAATAAACGTTTGTAATATTATTATCGAAGCAAATTTCCCCCCCCCATATGTATGTATGTATGTATGTATGTATGTATGTATGTATGTATGTATGTATGTATGTATGNTTAAAAGATTATGAAAAAAAATAAGTCCAGTGCACAATTAATTATGAAATCATCGTTAAATAAAAAAGATTTAATATGAACATTAAAAAATTTAAATACATATTAAGTATTACAATGAACATGAAATAATGATGAGAATAAAGAAAAATGAATAATAATAAGCAAAGAAATAATGAGCATCAAAATGAATAGTTAAAATTTTATGCATTAAAAATTTCTTTGAACTATGAGGTTTGTTCCATTAGCAATAATTTTATTATTGAATAATATAAATTAAAATTTTTCATATCATAAATCAAGTGCCCCATTGAGGTATGAGAACATGACTATACGAAGTTAAATTTTGTACAATTCAGCCTTTTTCATATTTTTATTTCTGAGGTTTATTTATAAGAATCGGGAGCTCATTTTTCAGTAAAAAAAGAAGTTTTCGAAACTTGTAACAATTTTAAAATAGGGATATCAGAATTCAGTACAATGCTGTCAGAAACTGTTTGTTTATTATTTCATTGGAAAAAAAGAAATGTCAATTTCTAGTTTCTATTAGCTCGGTGCAACAAAGTTCAAAACTATTTCTGAGAAACGCAACCAAAATTTAAAGCTTCATGTGTACTATTTGTTTTGCAACTTCTTATTAGCAGTTGTAAATTAAAAACCTCACATTCCCCCTACTTGCAGTTCAGAAACAAAGCACTACATTATAGATCACGTGATAAATTTTATTTTGAAAATTGCAGAATTCGTATCAACCAGTCATCAGTGGGATTCGAACCTGGGTTACTTCATTAGAAGGTGATCGCTCTATCCCCTGAGCCACCATGACTCTCACAATTATTTATTGATGGAAATGTTGCAACTATTCAAAATGTTTTTTTTATAGGTTTTCCACTTCAATTAAAATAACTTTTAATCTTTTTTTTAGCACTTCTCCAAATGTTTTAAAAGTTCGCCTTGGAGAACACGATGTTTCTTCTACATCAGAGCCTTACAATTATGAAGAGTTCGATGTTAAAAGGATTGTTGTGTACCCAACTTTTAATAACCGATCGCTGCTGCATGATATTGCTCTCGTTCAACTAAATAGACCAGCTAAACGGAGAGCTAATGTAAATGTGGTATGCATGCCTTCTGAAGGGACAACCAACAATGAACTTATTCTTTCTCACAAATGTTTTGTTACTGGCTGGGGCAAGGAAATCGGAAGTAAGAGGTTTTCAACTCTATGCCTTCTTTATTATCTTTTATCTTGTCTTCTGAACGTCTACAGAGTGGCCATAATTAAAGTAAAAGTGCTTAATGCCCGATAATGAAAAAAAAGGACTGAACCAAATCAGATCATACTTGGTGTAGATACTATTTAGATTAGAAATTAGATTTTTTAAATGAAAAATATTGCTCGGTTTTTCTCTATCAGGGGTTAAAATGGCATTGTATGGATACTGGATATTTTCCTGTGATAAAATGGCATAGCAAGTACAGAAAATTAGCATTTTCAAACATTTTAATATCAGCATCACTTTTACATTTACAATTGGATGCCTGCAAGGGACGTATTCGTAGGTAAATCATGGTATTGGTCCATTCAAAAGCCAATCAGGTTCGACACACACGCGTGATGTCGCTTACAGGTATCCAATTAAATCTGATTTAAATCACATGGTTAGGCATAATCACTTTACTTCTGCTCGAATTGCATGTATCCAAATGCTTTTTGTATTTATTTTGTATAAAAACTTTAGTAATCATGATTTCCCTGAGCAATCGTAAATTTTTCGCGTGAAAACTGGGTTATTTGTAGTTAGTCTTTTATAAATTAAGTTCCAGCATGCTGTTCCTTTTTAAGCAATGAGTGTTCCCGATGGTGCAAGTAATATGCGTTTTTAAACAATATCAAAATTCTAATATACGTTTTCAAACAATATCAAAGTTCTAATATACTTTTTTAAGCAATATCAAAATTCTAATAAACTTTTTTAAACAATATCAAAATTCTAATATGCGTTTTTAAACAATATCAAAATTCTAATATACGTTTTCAAACAATATCAAAGTTCTAATATACTTTTTTAAGCAATATCAAAATTCTAATAAACTTTTTTAAGCAATATCAAAATTCTAATATGCGTTTTTAAACAATATCAAAATTCTAATATACTTTTTTTTAACAATATTAGAATTTTGATATACGTTTTTAAACAGTATCAAAATTTTAGTTTACGTTTTCAAACAATACCAAAATTCTAACATATAAATTACTTGTTTACTTTAGGCTGCTATTTTGGAAAAACCTCAAGACCTCTACGTATGTGGAGCATCATTAGTCGATGAATATTGGATTCTTACGGCAGCTCATTGTGTTGATGAATAGTAAGAAATATGTTTACTTTATAACAAATCGCTCAAATGTTCATGAAGTATAAACAAATTGTAAAGTCCACTCTCAAAAATGAAATTCTTACTTTTGACGATTCTGCAGTCCTTGAGTTGCATTTTGTTAATATCGAGAATCATTTCGCCAAGAAATCACGTTATTTGGGAAGAAATGCGAACTATTTCCTTGACTTGGAACCTAAACGCTGTGCATTGTGGGAGTTAATTAACTAGAATGTCAAAACTGAAATAAAAACTAGACGATCGAAACTAGAAGAATGACGACATAAGTCGACCGATTGTATAGTGGTCAAAGAGTTAACATCAAACTAGGAAGATCCCGGGATCGAATCCCATTCGGGCATGGATGTAATTTATCTCTTTGTTCAATCTGTCTTTCTTGTGTTGTAGGGGTGACGTTGATCCACCTATATAGAGCTTACGAAAAAATGATCAACCATGGCATCAAGAAGTGGCTATAGTTATTTCGTCACTTTGACGAAACGTTCGCTCGGAGCATGTACCGGAAAGTTCTTGAGATTTGAGTATCCATTTTTTACAATGCACTCCAAAAATAGTAAGCCATTGATCAATAATCTAATAGACGTTAAGGCGCCACAATTTTATGACCAAAAGCATGATGGTGACAATGTGTTCACCAGCCGTTTCAGCTGATAACCATGTATCGGTTGATATGATTTCAGTTCTACTCTCAATAACTTTACCATAGTGTTTTAATATTGAATTAAGTTTAGTATAAACTGGAATAATTAATTAAGTTTTGAAATCTTACTCCTTTTTACACACTTTTGTTGTTTGCATTAACTCTGTAAATAAAATTTTAAGAAGGTTAAAAGAATATGAAAAAAAATAAGTCCAGTGCACAATTAATTATGAAATCATCGTTAAATAAAAAAGATTTAATATGAACATTAAAAAATTTAAATACATATTAAGTATTACAATGAACATGAAATAATGATGAGAATAAAGAAAAATGAATAATAATAAGCAAAAAAATAATGAGCATCGAAATGAATAGTTAAAATTTTATGCATTAAAAATTTCTTTGAACCATGAGGTTTGTGCCATTAGCAATAATTTTATTATTGAATAATATAAATTAAAATTTTTCATATCATAAATCAAGTGCCCTATTGAGATATGAGAACATGACTATACGAAGTAAAATTTTGTACAATTCAGCCTTTTCCATATTTTTATTTCTGAGGTTTATTTATAAGAATCGGGAGCTCATTTTTCAGTAAAAAAAGAAGTTTTCGAAACTTGTAACAATTTTAAAATAGGGATATCAGAATTCAGTACAATGCTGTCAGAAACTGTTTGTTTATTATTTCATTGGAAAAAAAGAAATGTCAATTTCTAGTTTCTATTAGCTCGGTGCAACAAAGTTCAAAACTATTTCTGAGAAACGCAACCAAAATTTAAAGCTTCATGTGTACTATTTGTTTTGCAACTTCTTATTAGCAGTTGTAAATTAAAAACCTCACATTCCCCCTACTTGCAGTTCAGAAACAAAGCACTACATTATAGATCACGTGATAAATTTTATTTTGAAAATTGCAGAATCCGTATCAACCAGTCATCAGTGGGATTTGAACCTGGGTTACTTCATTAGAAGGTGATCGCTCTATCCCCTGAGCCACCATGACTCTCACAATTATTTATTGATGGAAATGTTGCAACTATTCAAAATGTTTTTTTTATAGGTTTTCCACTTCAATTAAAATAACTTTTAATCTTTTTTTTAGCACTTCTCCAAATGTTTTAAAAGTTCGCCTTGGAGAACACGATGTTTCTTCTACATCAGAGCCTTACAATTATGAAGAGTTCGATGTTAAAAGGATTGTTGTGTACCCAACTTTTAATAACCGATCGCTGCTGCATGATATTGCTCTCGTTCAACTAAATAGACCAGCTAAACGGAGAGCTAATGTAAATGTGGTATGCATGCCTTCTGAAGGGACAACCAACAATGAACTTATTCTTTCTCACAAATGTTTTGTTACTGGCTGGGGCAAGGAAATCGGAAGTAAGAGGTTTTCAACTCTATGCCTTCTTTATTATCTTTTATCTTGTCTTCTGAACGTCTACAGAGTGGCCATAATTAAAGTAAAAGTGCTTAATGCCCGATAATGAAAAAAAAGGACTGAACCAAATCAGATCATACTTGGTGTAGATACTATTTAGATTAGAAATTAGATTTTTTAAATGAAAAATATTGCTCGGTTTTTCTCTATCAGGGGTTAAAATGGCATTGTATGGATACTGGATATTTTCCTGTGATAAAATGGCATAGCAAGTACAGAAAATTAGCATTTTCAAACATTTTAATATCAGCATCACTTTTACATTTACAATTGGATGCCTGCAAGGGACGTATTCGTAGGTAAATCATGGTATTGGTCCATTCAAAAGCCAATCAGGTTCGACACACACGCGTGATGTCGCTTACAGGTATCCAATTAAATCTGATTTAAATCACATGGTTAGGCATAATCACTTTACTTCTGCTCGAATTGCATGTATCCAAATGCTTTTTGTATTTATTTTGTATAAAAACTTTAGTAATCATGATTTCCCTGAGCAATTGTAAATTTTTCGCGTGAAAACTGGGTTATTTGTAGTTAGTCTTTTATAAATTAAGTTCTAGCATGCTGTTCCTTTTTAAGCAATGAGTGTTCCCGATGGTGCAAGATCAGATTCAAGTAACCTCCTCGTTTCTGCATAAAATTTGCTTGCAGCACGTTTCTGCTAAGGAAAAACACGATTGCTAAAATGATTTATAAAATATAAGTATAAAACGTAATTGTGACTGTAAATACGATAGCAAAATCAAAATACGTTTAAAATATTAATATTTAAAAACATTTTTGTACTTGCATTGTTTGTTTTACTCTAAAAACTGTTTTATAGTGCTACTGTAACCCCTGGCGAAACAGAACTGTATCTGTTTGTTTAAATCAATTCTTATTGTCTAAATAACACTAATTAAAAATTGTTTCTTTATGGGGGGAAAAACACCTTTATTTTAATAATGGCCGTCTTGTATAATATGTACCACGAAAAACTACCATTAAACAACTTATTTTGCAATAAAAATATTTGTAAGAATAATAGAATAACTAATTTACTTAAATACTGTCATAAAACTGATTATGGGAAGCATTTAATTTAATTAATATTTTGAGAATAAAATGTGTTATAAAAAAGCATTTTATTTACTGTAAACTTTTATTTAAACTAATAAGACTTATATTATGTTATTATGTTACCGCAAGTTAAAAATGAAAATTAGTAAAAAATGAAAAGAAAAGTACTTTAAAAAACTTGTTGAATAATATCGAAATTCAATTGAATGCTTATGAAACAAATCATAAAGGAATTAGTAATTATTTGGAAAAGGTTTGAAATTTCACAATTGTTATGGAAAATAAATAAAAAGTTAAGGAACTATCAAACAAATTCCATTCCTATTTTGGATTTTGTCAATTTAAATTAATTAAACATGGTGGAAAAATGTGTGTAACTTATAAATAAAAAATTTGTTTTGACCATATTTGAAAATGAATGATAAATTATTATAAAGATTTATCTTCTATAGAGAGTTACTTTCGGATAAACGAGTTTTATAATTGGGTACAAAAAGTTTTTGATTTGCTCAAATATTTCCAGAAATACGAAGAAGTGAGCTCGAGGTGAAATTAACCCTCTGGACCCCAAACTTTCGATCGCCTAAACTATTGTGAAAATATTTTCCAGCTAGCAACCATTCCCATATTTTGAGAGTCATGAATCTAAGTTGGTTAGAGAAGAAAAACATGTCTTTTTTTAGTTAAAGTATATTTTTTGCTCATATAAGTTCTGCTCATATAAGTTTGCATATTTATGCTTAGCCCCAAGAATTGTTAAGATAGTACGTGGAAATCCAATCATCTGATCAAAAGTTATTAAGGTGTTCGGTTAGTACATTTCTTTTGTGCTTTTTAGTAAGCAAAGCGTAACAATGCTTTTAATATTGAGTCGGAAGTCTACTTTTCTTTATAAAATCCAGTGTGAAGTAAAATTAGCTATAATTCATCAGTATGTTTTATAATTTAAGGAGTCTTTCTCTTTTGCAAATAAAATAAGTCACTAATAACCATACGCAAGCAATGAAATCGTACGGAGATACCTTTTATTTAAATGAAAATTAGTTTATTTCTTAATCTTAGCTAATTTTTTAGTTAATTTTTCAACGTCATTCAATTTTAATAAGTATTTAAATTAAAATCTTCATTTAATTTTACTTATTTAATTTCCTAAAAACATCTAAATAAGCATTTTTTTGTTTTGTTTTATAATAATGTTTGGAACGCTTCAAAAATATCTAACCACAATTTCCGATCAATTCATAAAGAGTTTTTTAAGACAAACAATTTAACGGTTTTTAAACTTTAGTAGTTTACTTCAAGGACTGAATTGCTATTCTTAAACTACATCTTCAACATTTAAGCGCAGAAAAGCGTAACCGATAGGATATCAATGGAATTCCACCGATTTTTTTAAGAAATTAAATTTTTTTTGGATGGGCTATAAAATTATCGGGAAGTTTATGACTGTGAAGGACACAATCTTCAAACAACTTATTTATAAATCCTATTACAAATATTTTTTAGCTTTTATTTTCGCCACCGCCCTTGAAGCGTTGTTTCACGCACAATAAAATACGTTTCACACAAGAATGCTTCACGTGATTTGGAGATCGCACTTTAAGTGTTTGTTTTGAAGAAATTCAAATATGTACTTCCGCAAAGAATACTGAACCTAACCACTGGATGCCTGATTGAAGATTTTTTGTAAAACAAAGAAACTATGGTGTTTAGGGATAGTTTAAATCTTCATTCTTAGTTAAGAGGACGCCAATTCGTTTCGAAAAGATTCTCCCTTAGTATGGAGTCCTCTTAAGGATGTTTGCTTCTTATGTGAAAATGTAGGAAAGTACAGCATAGATATTTTCTAAGACACGTTAAAATTAATTACAGTTCTTAACGCAGAATATTTTTTAACATGAAATGTGTTTTAATGTCCTTATTTAATTCTAAACTAAAATCTTAAAGTTTGAGATGAAATAATTAAAAAAGAGTCCTCCCCCCCCCCAAAGAAAACTTTTATAAATTTACTTACGAATTTTTGCTGAATTATTTTTTTAATGCAAGAAAAGTTCTAATAACTTTACTTTATTCGAAAATGAAATTATAATGCTAAAAAAAAAAAAAATTTATTCTTTCTCCCCAAAACACAAACTCCTGCTGCCGTGTATTTTTTTATTTATTTATTTGTTTTTGAAAAATTTTTTTTTTTGATATCTCTATTTTATTCGAAAACAAAGCTTAAAGCTTAAAATAATAAAAAAATGTATTTTTCGCCTCGTCCTAAAAAAACACGAACTCTTGCTGCAGAGTATTTTTATTTATTTATTTTTGAGAAATGTGCTTTCATACCTTTATTTTATTCTAAATTTTTATGCCGAATATATTTTAATATCTTAAGCCAGTTTCAAAGTAAAATGAGAAAGTTTTAAAAAGAAAAGTAATTCTCTAACTTAAAAAGAAAGGGGGAAAAAACACGAAAAGCTTGCGAGCTTTTGCTTCAGAAATTGTTTTTATTGCAAAATGTGTTTTAATATTTTTATTTATTCACGAGTAAAATAGTAAAATTTAAAATAAAAAAAATATTAATAAAAAGTTGTGCAATTCTCTTAGAAAAAAGCAAACAAACCTTTGCTAGGTTATGGGGGACCATTGAGGTTAAGCTCCATAATTTAGAAACCAACAGCGTGATAGTGGCAATGTGTGCAGCGCAACGGTCACCTTTGCATGCAACAGGCTGTAACCAATCGATTTAAAGCTCAGTGAACAACAAACCATTGATCGGGTGTTAAACACCAATTCTTATTAATGTCAGTATAGTGTTTTTATCACAATGCAATCATGGCTCACTTTAAGGCATCAATGTTTATTAAAATATGGAAGATCGAGATAGTATTTTAAATATTTGTTTTTAAGAAATTTCAGCACTCATTATTCAAAAGTACATTGAGTTTAATAGCAGAATGGAGGACTGAAGCAATTTTTTTAAACTACGGTGTTTTGTGAAAACTTTTTTACTTTTGTTTTGTCTTTTTTAAGGCTGTTTTGTTCCAAATATTAAAGTATAGAAAAATATTATTATATTTTTATGTAATTTTGTTTTCGACAATAAGTATGTTAAAATGTTTAAATGCTAAAAACCTAATAAATTTTAGCTGCGGAATTTTTTTCTTACTTTAAAGTATTATTTTTCAATAAAATGTAGAATATTAAGATGTTATATTTTATTGAGATGTTATATTTTATTATGTTACATTTTATTGAGAAATAATACTTTAAATAAAAGTTAGTATGAATTGAAATAAATAACTTCATTTTAAATATAAGTTTGAGATTTTTAACTACATGTCTTATAAATTTTTATACCATCATAACAAAAAATATTCTTTTAACTGCAGCATCATTGCTAGTAAGGAGAAGAAATGTTAATACATCTGCTTAACCCTTTGACGCAGAATTTTTATTAAAGATGTTCTTATACTTATTTTCATTATTCCATTGTTTTAATTTAGATCAAAATAAGCGAAAAATATTAAATTTACCATTTTGATAATTTATGGTTATGAAATACAGCTTGAAACACCGGTGACTTTTTCTTTATTAAAGGTAAAATCTTCCAATCTTCTGAGGACACAGCTCACTTCTAAACAATAATTTTTTTCATAGTTTGCACTTATTTGCAGTCATTTAGATCTAAGAGAGAGAAACAGTTATTCATAATTGAAATTTTTTTTTACAAAATAAGTTCTTGAAACATTTTTGAATATGAATGAAACAAAATTTTCAAACTATATTTTTTGTAATTTTGTCTTTTAGTAAAAATATAATTCCGATAATTTAACAAATTTTTTAGTAACTATTTGACTATTTTTAATAATTAAAAAACATTAATTATATTTTTGCTAATAATTAGAGTGACAGGAAAAAAATTATGTAAAAGGGACACCGGTGTCCCATGTGCGTTATAAAGATAAAATGTCAAAGAGATAAAATTTTCAAAAGTTCACAAATTTTATCCATGGTGAAAATTCCAAAAATAAATAAATGAATCAATAGGAAATGGACTTTTCTTACAAATATTTGCATAACCATCTGTATATGGTTTCAAATAAGAATTGTTTTATAGTAACTAGCTACGCTAAAGATGCATCTAAGGAAATTTTGTAAACTTCTTGATTTTTCAATACTGTTTTAGATAATTTACCTAACAAAATAATTTTCCTTAATTATTTTTGAAGCATTAAATTTAGTTCCAGAATAAGTAATTTTGTTCTTATTTTAAATCACTATGTGTATTATTTTTCTGTAAAATCTAATTCGAATGACTTATTTTTAGATGATGAACATACAGTCGTTTTAAAAGAAGTGAATGTACCGTTGTGGAGAAATGATGATTGCGAACGAGCTCTGAGGTTTCATTTTGGACCAAATTATAAATTACCCGCAACTTCTCTTTGCGCAGGCGCAGAGGGTAGAGACGCCTGCGATGTAAGTATATTTTTAAAAAATTCTGTACACCAATCTTAAAATATCTGCATAGGGGCAAAAATAATTGTCCATTTTTATCAAATTCGTCAATTTAAATACCATTTTATAACTTCATCCTAATAAAAGTACTAAGTTATTTTTAAATTATTTAAATAATTAAGCACTTAAGTATTTTATATCTGGCATTGAACAGTCGATCAGTTTTCGGGTTTCCTGCCATCAACATTCCACTTGTAATTTTGAACCAAACCATGTGCAGCCTTGTAATTTTGAATCAAACACAAAAGACAAGGGAACTGCAGTGGCAAGCATTGAAACAAACCAGCCGTTGAGGAGGATTTTTTAATGTGAATTAATCCGAGTTTTGCATAAAATGAAGAAGAAACCCTGTTTCAGTTTGCCAGCCAACAAGGGACTTAACCCATGATACATCTACGCGATACATTTGTGACAGCACTGCGGTCAGTGCGAGTCCAAATCAGAATTCGAATCAACCAGCCATCGCTGGGAATTGAACCTGGGTCTCCTTATTGATGAGGGTTGAGTGTTTTATCCTCTGTTGCCACTACGGATCTGAAACCAAAGTATGGTAAATATTTTCCTCAAGCGAATTAGAAGCTATTTTCATTGCCTTAGATATCTACATGGCGATGCCACGCTTTTGTTCCATACGTGAAGCGTGGAATTAATTTATACATTTGTCAAAAAATATTTTGGTAATTTATGTGTGTGTCTTTGAGATAAATGTAAATAAATAGAAATATTTTTATTCGTCTTCGTGAAAAAATATATTCAAAATATATATTCTCTGATTGCACCTCTGACGTGTTATTTCAATTTATGCAAGATTTATATATATCAAATATATGTTATTTATATATTTCAAAAAAATCATATTAGAAATAATCTACGGCCATAAAAGTTAATTCAACGATAAAACTAATCTGAAATTGCGACAAAATTTAGTTAAACATATTGATTTTAAAGATCTTTATATATAAACATTTGGGAGGCAAAAATCATTACAACTTTGAAATATGTGAATTATTAAAGAGCTTTCCTTCCACGTGAATCTTTCCCTCACAAATTGATGGATTCTGAAAAAATTTTGAAAAATTTTCAAATCTTTGAATAAGTTTATTAAATATTTTGAAGAAAATTCTGTTTCCCAGAGTCTTCTTGCATTTTTGTACTTTTATCATTAAATGCCTTTCACAGAAATTAGAAGTGATAAAAATGAGTGATCAGTTGTTTATTTAATTTAAGTCTCCGCATTTTTTTTGTTTTTTGTTTGTTTATTAACTCGCCACGTGATAGTCTTAAAAAGTTATACGAACAATAGTTTCTCTAATGCCATAGTATGTAAATATTTTTAAAATGTAATATAATTTTTTATTTTAACAGGGTGATGGTGGTGGTCCTTTGACGTGTGAAAAGAAAGGGCGATGGTATCAAGTTGGAATTGTTTCGTTCGGGATAGGATGTGGGCAACCAAACACTCCTGGAATCTACACCAGAGTAGAAAGCTACAGCAACTGGATACACAGAGTAGTTGCAACTACGCATTGAAATAGCAGTTTCTTACATTCAATATTTTTAATCTCAATAATATTAAGCAGATTCACGACGTTTAGTTTTAAAACGTTTAAAGTAAAACAATTCTCCCAACAGCCCGTTGGTTCATGGGGGTTAAGGCTCTACATTTTCAAGACTATGATTCAAGCAATGTGATCAGCACTGTGCACAATGCCATTTCAACTTCTCATCCAAGTCAAAATTCTTTATGATCCATCAAAATAATTTGATGGTTTATGTTGGTTTCAGTGCTATTCATGGTAGTCCAACATCATCCAACATTTTCCATTACGTGCACATGGTTTTAGATATGCCAACAAACTTCCATCATTTTATGATGGAAAAAGTTGCTTTAATACTATGATGGTTAACCATTAAGATTCTCATGGACCAACAATCCGTGATGGTTCATGATGGTTTTAACTATACATTTCCATAATGATTTAATGGGAATTCTTGTTGGTTCTCAGGAATATACCACCAAAACAATATTTTTTTACTGTTGGACCATCATAAATTAGTCCGAATTCCTATATTGGGATGATGGTGGTTCATGATCGTTCCAACATTGGATTTCTAAGACGCTATGATGGAAATTTGTGATAGTTCATCGTGAACAAACCGTCAAAACAAGTTGCTATTCTTGTGCTGCACCATCATAAATCAATCCGAATTCGTGCATTGAGGTAATGGTTGCTTACGTTTGTTACCATCAAGAAATATAATGGTTTTTGATATAGTTATTGATGGTTAACATCCAGATTATGTTGGTCCATCAGTGAAAAACCATTTGGCATTTCGACCTGGGAAGTAAAGCTAGTAGCAATAGGTTTGAAGTCACTGAGGATCGACCCAAAGGTCTTTACAATGACAGTTCAGTGCCTTTAACTACTGAGCCATTGCGGTTCCGCTTTGCTTACTTATAGAATCTTCGTAAGATTTGCTAAGTTGCCATATTGGTTAGTTAAATTGTGCGTAGTAAATTGAAAGGAAACACCATAAAATGATCTGACTTAATTTTTTTAAACACTTCATGTTCTAAGCAAAACTATTAGATAAGTTAATAAAATGTAGAAGTGAGCGTTTTTATACTTAATTAAGTTTTGCTATATTGGTATATCTTTCTATCCTATTGATTTAAATTCAGTTAATTTGTAAATGAGGATAATATATATATATATATATATATTTTTTTTTAATAGACTTCGTCTTGAATCCAAGAAATGTTTCATTTTAGACCATAGCATCAAAACTCAAATGAAATCTTAAAAGACTGATGTTACTAAATTATTTTATGCGTTATATCACTTATTAATGCACACTTGATAATATAAATTAACAAAAAGTGGAATATGGAACATATGGAGCAAAAAGTGGAATATGGTCAATCTCAGCATTTTCTGACTTTACCACATTCTGTTTTTAGTTTTAAATGATTAAAGCTCGTTAATTTCTTGAATGTGAGATTTATAAAAACATTCAACAAACATAGAAATATTCTCATTGAATTTGCAAATTTAAATATTTTAGAGTTTCATTTTCCTTTTAATATCCGATTTTTATTTTGAAAGACATATCACGTGCAACCATTTAGTTTCCTAATAAGCTAATTAATTACAATTATAAGCCAAGCAAAACTCATTGTATTTATTTTCATACACAGAGTAATGTATTCTGTCATCTCTGCAACAGAAAGATACACAATTAAATAACTTTTACTTGTATTTATTTAAAACTTATTTTATCACTATCTTTGAATGTTATTATAAATGTTGTTAAGTTATGGAGTTGTTGTTTTATAATAAACATTCTTTTTTAATAATTTTTGTTGTTCTATTGCTTTCAAATATTTTGAAAACAACAGTGTTAAATTGGGCTAAGTGATGAAGATTTACTTCGTAAGCAGAAGAAAGACATTGAAATTTCTCACGTTTTCTTCTTAATATTAATTTTACATTCTGACCCACAAAGTTAACTATGCACTTCATTATGTTCAAGGAAGAACAATGTTTCTGCATTATTACCTCATAATCGTTTTTCCTATAGGAAATTCGTGTATATAACTATATTTTTTGTAATTTTGTCTGTTAGT